TTTATTGTGAATATATAAACAGTTTTTAAATAGAAATATTAATATTTAATAAAATAAATTTTTAAATTTTTAATTCAATTCTTAATTTACTACAATCCTCATTCTCATTCTAGACTTGTACTTGATAAAAAAACTTTAAAAATAAAAAGTTAATTGTAGATATATATGATTTATGAAAAACTAGTTGCTAGTTATGATATTTTTTCTCAAGGTGTTATTTCAATGCCACGTTCTTCTTCTTTTGCCCTTTTAACACTTCCATTATGAGAGGAACAATCCTTTTTTTCTAAATTCGAACAAGTCCAAGGATAAGAAAGAAAATGTTATAAATAAAAATCTTCGCTAACTTAGATCCATGTTATTATTATTGATGCACCAAAGAAGAGATAAATTCATGAAGTTGCAAGGATCATTAACAAAAGACATGTTTATTTTATCCCATAATTGGAGGGAAGATCAAGTCAAACCAACTTGTGTTCAAGTGAGAAATTTCGCAAAAGACTTGTTAGGAGAAATCTAAATTAAAGAGATTAAGATAACTAAATTAAACTTGCAAGAAGAGGATTTTAGCGCAAGTAAATTAATTACACATTCAATATATACTGGCTGGTTGGCTAGATTTGCTAAAAATGTTCTGTATCCTTTTGATTTCTGAGATGAACATAGATAGGTTTGGCTTGAGTCGCTTGACTTGCTAATTAATAGCAAGTGGATTCAAATTAAAGCTAATTTCTTGGTAGTGTTTAGAAAATAGGCCACTATTGGGCCATAGCTTATGCACATAAGGGATATATATATATCATTGGACCATTTTTCACGGTAGAATGTAGAAAAAAAGAGAGTGAGATACATCAACTAAAATTCTTAAGTCCCGACTAATGAGGATTTTGTAGAACACTGCCTCTTTAGAGTAAGATAAGGTAAGAAATATACATCTTAGGCCATGAATAAGTCCTCTTTAGGTCTCCCATGCAGAGTAGATATATCATATCTTCTTTGATGTAGAAGCCTTTAGCTAGCTCAAGTCAATTAATTTAACATTCAATATATACTAGCTGCAAGCTAGATTGACCAAAAATGTTCTGTATCCTTTTGATTTTTGAAACGTATGTAGATTGGTTTGGCTTGACTTGCTAGTCAATAGCAAGTGGATTCAAATCAGAGTTAATTTCTTGGCAGTGTATAGAGAATAGGCTACTAATGGGCCATAGCTTATGTACATAAGAGATATCTATATATATATATATATATATATTTTTTTTCATGGTAAAATGTAGAAAAAAAGAGAGTGAGATACATCAACTAAAAT